CCCCAAAACCCCAAAACCCCAAAACCCCAAAACCCCTTAGAGTTTGTTATTAATTGAAATTCATAATAGATGTACAATTATATTTCGCTAATTGGGTTCGCAAGCATCCCCAATATCTTCAATACTAAATAAATAAAAATCCCCAAAACTCTTCACAACCAACTCAATCCTCTATCCAACCCCTAACCTTAACCCCACTTTCTATCCCCTCAAAACACCTCAAAAACACCCTAAGCCCACTCCAAAATCAATTTTTCTTCATTTTTAATTTACTCCCCTAATCACAATCCTCTTCCTACTTCTCTTTAAATTTCCTATCATATCAGCTTTCTTTCCTTCTACTCACTGCTGAAAATCATCTCTTCCTTCTTTTATTGGTCCGTTTAAGCCCTTTCATTACTTTAAAGTACCTTTTGTTCTTCTTGCTGGCTTTCATGTTAGAAATATTTAGGTAAATAGACTCTGGGTCTTCAAATGAAGGTCTTCAGAATGACTGCAACTCTGGAATTAATGGTGACCCTCACCTCTTCAAGTCAGGCTTTAGTGGAGATCCATGCACTGAAGTTGGTATGAATGTGTTCCTGGATGGACTCCGTCCAAATGATTTCATACGAGACAACACTTTTGATCTGGGATTGGGTTGAAGCTTCTTATTTTGCATCGAAAATAGTCTTTCGTTCACTAGATTTTGAGAAACAAGTTGATGAAATTCTTGGCTTAACAAAATCATAATCAGGCTTGTAATGTCCTAACGGAGGCACGTTGAGTTCATTAAAGTTCAGAATAATTTTAGAGTTATCCCTGGTACGCCTTTTCCTCCCAGACAATGATTGGGATATCTCTTTGTGTGAATTCCTGGTACTATTTCTGCTTAAGTCTGCCTAACAGAAAGTCTCTCTTCTTCCATAGAACATCAATGACCTCGTTGGCCTCCTGAAAGTGGGTTTTCTCTTTCTTTTTTGGCCGTTTCTTGTATGGCCCAAAGGAAGACTCAACCTTGAATTTATTTATTAAAAGGGTTTTCCCCAGCCTTACTGAAGCACATGTAATCATTGATGGTCTTCTTACCCTTCTGAGAGAACATTGGAGTTCCCTTACCTGACTTTGTACATGAACTTGACAGAATTATTTTGTGCATTAATATAATTTATCAATACAATAATTAAGTGAAGGGGTTTTGGGGTTTTGGGGTTTTGGGGTTTTGGGG